GGACAGGAAATGGAACAGAAGTAGAGGAACAGAAACTAGAAAAAAAGCCTTAAGTAGTGCTTAAGTAGGTCAAGAAAATCAGTGACAATATGGCTGATACAGTAAGTGGAGCAGAGCATGACACAGAAGTGGAAGAGAGCAAAAAGAGGAGATTTAAAGAATTCACATGCAGACCATGTGGGCACTGTTGTGCACACGGTGTAACTGTTCTTGCTGCACTGAGCTCTGGAAGCATTTTGCAGAGGGATAAAACCATCTGCTTTGGGATGGAGTACTCTGCTCTGTTCTCATTTGTAGCCTGTAAACATAGATACCCTGAGTATTGTGTTGTGTGTACTTTAATTATAGTATGTTAAAATGAAAATTAATAATATTTCTTTTCTTGTTTTCTTTTTTCCTTGAAGACATTACTAGTTCAGCCAACCTTACTGTTACATCATCAACACAGTCTACAACAACATCTACATTAGGTACGTATCTCTTCATTTGTCCATTACTATGAACCTAGAAGCTCCATACCTACCCTAGATCATACCAAATTCCAAAAAAATATCCATCAAAAGTGATATTTGAGAGAGGCATTATCATTTTAGGGCTGAGAGGCAACATGTAAAACAACTCTGAAATGAAGCTATACTGTTTTTCAAGTTTAGGTAGCATGCTTCAACAGTAGAAGGAATGACATTTGCAGTGCTGTTCAAAAACAGGGATCAAAATAAAACTTCAAGGAAGAATTGGAGAAAAGTTGGTCTCTTTAATGTTTGTTCTTTATCTCTAAGCAAGCTTCTTCCATTTTCATGGAGTAAAAATGAAGAGGTTGTTGTGCAAACAGCGCATATCTGTGTAATGTTATTTCACAGTAAATATATTTAGGGTATAATGAAGTCCTGGAGGCTTGAGTTTCAAGAGTAGAACTCCATTTCCTTTTAGGTAAGACTCATGGTACCTTGCACCATAGAAAATAGTCCTTATAAAGCTCATAGCACAAAACAGTGGAGTTCAAGCGAGACATGAGCAGAGCAGATCTGGGAGTCTGTCATGGGTACCTTTGCATTTCTCTAGCACTACCATCTTTTCCTTCACAACTTGGCAAAAGAACTGTAGGTAAGAGTGATTTCCCAAGGCAGCAGTGTTACAGTTCTGATGCTCCAATGTAAGTAACATGTTTACAAAACACATCTTTGTAGAAAGAAGAAATAGGTGTATTAGATCAACTAGTAGCATTTGAAAACAGATATTTAACCTGGGACACAAACAGTTCATCCACTTGGATTTGCAGTGTTCCAGCTGTTGGCTATGTCAATGTGAGATTATTTTTAAAAAAAGGAAATTAACAAAAATATTTTCCGGACGAACTTGCACAGGCGTATCTCACCACATCAGTAAAAACTGGATAAGAATTAATGTCATGCAGTTGGTCAGTCTGCGATGTACGGATAAAAAAGGTTGTATCTGGGGGAAGAGAAGCAAAGCTGGTTCTGTCCACAAACTGAGTCCTCTTTGTGCTAAGAGCCATGTGAAAGCAGGACTGAAATATTGTACCTACCCTAAGATACTTTGTGTATTTGTGGACTTTTATGCTAATCATAAGCTCCCAACTATGTTATTCCACACCTCTCACTTTGTGTCTCTGCAGTCTCCAGATAACCTCTGAGCTACCATGCTCAGTAGTTGGTTGTTATTCATTTAAGAATAAAATACTCACCAGGAAGAAAAAAAAAATCTCTGCAAAGACCTTTTGATAGCAAGGAAGTGGTCCAGTTTCTCATTCCACTGCCTGCAGTGTACCAGTTCAAGCACGTCTGATTTGGAAAGTGGAGATTTTTGTAATTCCCTTGTTGCCTTAGGGCCTTCCCCGTGTGTAAAGCCGTTGTTAACCACAGGTGTTTCACCTGCCCTGTGCTGCAACTCTTCCTCCCTCTGCTCCAACCCTGACTATGGGGTTCTTGCAGAGGTCTGCACTTTATTATGTCTAGGTAATAATAGTAAAAAGAGCCCTGAGTCCTTTGCTGTTAGGCACAGCACAAAGCTAACAGATGGCTGTGCCTTGCTTCACATGGTTCACGATTCACATCCTTCGCTCTGTTTTTGTTCTGTTTTGTGGTTTTATTTATTTGTTTTTGTTAGAAACTTCATAGATTTTAAGACAGTGTGCATCCATTTTGATTATCTGTCTTGACCTCTTCAGAATACAGACTACTGGATATATGTACTTAATTTTGCTTAAAGTCTCTGCCCTCCTTGCTCCCTTTTTTTTGTTAATCTTTTCATGGCAGAAGCAAAAGTCTGTTTCATTCAATCATTTTCCATGCAAACGAGAGTATTTAGGAAGAGCATTCAGTAATAATTATTTCATATGTTAGCACAAAGTTTATGCAACTTGAGTTGTGTTTTTTCTTGTTGATATACAGGAGGTTCCACTTAAATTTGAGAAGAAACTTCTTCTCAGTGAGGGTGACAGAGCACTAGAACAGGCTGCCCAGAGAGGTTGTGGAGTCTCCTTCTCTGGAGACATTCAAAACCCGCCTGGACGCCTTCCTGTGCAACCTCATCTAGGTGTTCCTGCTCCGGCAGGGGGATTGGACTAGATGATCTTTGGAGGTCCCTTCCAATCCCTAACGTTCTGTGATTCTGTGATTATGGTAGTAGTGCATACGGCCAAGAATTCTTGTGTTTGTGCTAGATATATATATAGTTGGATTGATGAATACAGCATAGCTATTTAATGTTTAAACACAGGTAGCATACAAAGTAAAATACTTGTATTTTAAAAATAAAACATCGAATTGCTGGCATGCATCCTTTTTAAATAATTAAATTAACTCGGCAGCCTGGGTTTGTTTAGCGTAATGTTTGATGAAGCCCAGCTGATATTTTGGGGAAAAGGTAATTAGGGAAATAAAAGATAAAAGGACAGATGTTGCTAGCAATGTTCTTTCATCTTACCTCTGTTGGTATAATAATATGGATAAGATTTTTCGGAGACACAGAAGAACAGATTGATGCCCGATTCATGTCAGCTTCCCAAATTCTCCAGCTGTCTCAGATTGCCTCCCACTGATGTTTTGAAATGACTGATGCTAAATACACCATGAAAGATAAGCCTGTAGGAGATTAACCAGATTTTACTCTTAATATAAAAGTTACATCACCAAGTGCTGTAATCTGTATAAAGTAAGAAAAAAGGATTGCTAGTAGGAAAGAGAGGGGGAAGAAGTAATGTGCAAATTTGCTGAAGTTCCCCATGATAGCTGCTTGGATATTTTTTGTGCTGACTCAGGTTTTTTTGTAGGATAATTTAATGACAAAGTACCATATTTGTATATCGTTTAATAGTGTTACACATGGAACCATTAGCCATTATATAGCACAGAAACACAAACCAGTTCAGCTCTCAGAAATCATGGCAAGAAAAAAACCCACAAAAAACCAACTTAAAAAACACACCAAGAAAACTGGTTTACAGTTGCATTCAGATTTGTCTTTCTTTCCTTTTGGTATCTTTTATAATAGGAATGAAGTTACCAGGTATGGTTTCATGTCATATAACTGTAGGTGGTTTCCATATAGACATTTTCTTACTTATTTCCTACAAGGAAACATCTGCATTTATAGATCATTGTGCCTTTGGGGAGTTTACCTGTCAGTATTAAAATGTGCCCTGAATTTTATCTGATGTATTTTACACATGCTTCATAAAGGAACTGAATTTCATAATTGTAACAAGGTAAGCACATGAGTATAGTACTCCAACTGTTCCATCTCAATGAATGCTTATTTCAAAGTGTTTCTGAGGGTTATGGCAAAATACAATGATAACATCAAAGAACAGGAAAATAAGTAACTTTTACTTTGGGGACAGTATTGAGCTGTTTCAGGAGTTTTAATGTTAAATATCTCAGAAAAATGTGTAGGCCAGTTGCTTTCTGAATACTTATGTTGCCATATTGTTTGATTATTCTTTTTTTAAGTTTTTGATGTTCACATCTGTACTAGGAGCAGAGATACCTGAGTCTTAGCAAAGACATCATTCTGTGTGTGGCTACTCACGTTTAAAATTAACCCAGTTTGTGTGAGGTTATAGAAATAATACAGAAGTAGACAGCTGCAAAGGGAGCTTTTTCCCCCTAAAAATCTTTCATACATAAAAGCCATTTCCCTCATATTGTCTTAGAGAAATGTTAGTTGCATAACAGGCTCATGTTTCTTGTTCCTCCTTAGAAATATAAGTAATTATTAAGATCATTCTAGCTGGCTGCCTTCTACTGAAGTTCCAAGTATTTTGCTATAAATATCAATCTTTCTTATTCTTGAATTTTGCTTCATGATATTTTCATTCTGAACAGTTCATTACTGCTTTCTGAGGAGGGATGGGAAAGTGTTAGGTAAAAGTAGAGTAAAAGAGGCGTCGGGTGTCAATTAAACTTGTGAAACAGCATTCCAGTCTTTGTTTTAGCCTTGGCAAGACAGCTCGCTCCTAAATAAATCATACAGGCCAGCAGATTCATTTTAGTCAAATTTTTATCACATGTGGAAAACCTTTTGAACCTCAAGTTTAACATACATACAGATTCTCTCTAGTAAGTTTAATATGCATTCAGTCTTAGTAAAGCTAGTGTTTCATTCAAAAGTAAATCAAGGATTAAATCATTACTAGAAGTGGTGTGGGAGGGGGGTTTTCATTCAAAATCTGTTCTTCTCAGAAAAGCTTGGTTATCTGACAATGGAAACTTACCCTTGATCCAGAATTTTATGTCATTTTAAAAATACTGTAAGTTTCCATGGAATTGGATAGTGTTATAAAAAAAAATTTGACCCTTCTAAAAGTTACGAGTTATTAGCCAGGTTTTCTTTACAGCCTTTCCTTAAAACCATTCCTAACCTTAAGCCCCAGAAATCAAAAGTAAGGAAATGTATAGGGGGAAGAGTCTGAATGTCCTGTGGAGTGTGGATTATCCATGGAGTAGCATTTTCATTGTTACTCTATTTGGGCATGATAAATGCTGTCTTATTCAAGCAGTATACAGTTTATTATTTTTACGTATTTTTCTGTGTGATGTCACAAATAAAACTTTCCCAGGTACGTCCACCAGTACCACTAATGTGACCAGCACCAGTCAGCCCACCAACACCACTGTGTCTGTGACCACGATGATTCAGCCCACCAAAACCAGCCAGACAACACGATTCACCACAGCTCCGTCAGTCACATCATCACAATTCAATATTACGATAGTGACCACTTCCAAGATTTCTTTCACTTTCGTAACTGGTGAGTTCACGCTTCAGGAAGCTCATTAAGGCTTGTATACATGTTGACATGTTGTACAATTGTAGAATTGTCAGTTTTACAGTAGTGTAACAAAGAAAGAAGGTATTTGCATGCTGAAAAAAGAGTAAGGTGGGAGGTTTTTTTTGCATTAAATTGGCTATAATAATGTTGCTCTGAGCACTCCACTTACTTAGTAAGGCCTCACTTAACCTGAGAGACTTGACATATTTAGGAAAAAAAAAATGCAAGTAGTCTGAATGAGCAGCCACCAGCAAGGACATTAGCAACACTAGGAGAAAGCCTGGCTTTTGAATACAACTTCTGTATTCAGCTTTCCCTTCTACAGCTTACTTGAACTCATCTCTAATACTTCCTTTTTCACAGCTGACCTGTGGCTCAAAATATGCGTACTCTCTTAGTAGAAAATTGAGTTCTGTTAGTCACATTTGTAGCAATGTAATTACTTTTATCCTTGATGGAGGATGGAGTATTACTATGAATGAGTTGTAAAATCACAGAATGGTTTAGGTTGGAAGGGACCTTAAAGCTCATCCAGTCCAACCCCTGCCATGGGCAGGGACACCTCCCACCAGACCAGGTTACTCAAGGCACTGTCCAACCTGGCCTTGAACACTTCCAGGGAGGGAGCATCCACAACTTCCCTGGGCAACCTGTGCCAGTGTCTCACCACCTCATACTTCATGTAAAAGTTGTCAAATACAGTTTGACAGTACCCTTTAATAAAAAACCAGTAAGTATAAAATTCAGTATTTCCTTGCAGTTAGCTCCTTGTTTGTACCACTTCATGCTTACACTTTTAAGGAGATCAGAGTTGCTCACATGTCAGTGAGCGTTATTGGGTAGGTGGAGCTGTTATCAGCAGAACTTTTATTTGGCCACGTAATGCTCCCTGTGGCGAGTACAAATAGAGATGGGCACAGGCTGGGTGTTCTGGTGGGTATTTGTAACAGATAAAGCCAGTTTTCAAACGGAAACTTCTATGGCTTATCTGAGGTCACATTATCTATGTCAATATTTGTGATTGGCTGCAGAGCTGATCTCACTTAGAGAGTGAGGGTACAATTCCATGAGACAAGGTAAAGCAATCCAACAGTTCATTTTACTCCCACCACGTAACTATACTGACTGACTTGGTGGTGTTGGACCTCTCTGCAGGCTGACTCGGTGTGCTCATCTAACTAAAAGCAACTTCGTTTTCTGCTTGGGTTAATTCCAGGCCAGCTTAGTGAGTTAAACTGGCTCAAGGAAGGTATGAAAATCACTAGAACTGAAGGGCAGGAGCTGCATGTATGGAAGGGAAAAAAGCCGGGGAAGGAGGGATGGGGAGGGGAGAAGTGGAGTCAGTTTTTCAGAGACGACAAGCAGTTGGATCAGCTGCTCTGGTGTCACCAGAATCTAGCACTTAGAGCTTTATGTTTCAGTGTGCTTGACTGGTGTCTTGCCAGTTGATCTGTGTTAAATTTGTGTAATTTTAGATGGTATGTCAATGGGGAGGGCAGAATATAGAGGAGTCCCTCAAAATACAATTTTGCAAGCTCTGTAAAAAGTGCCTTTTGTTTTCTTTTTTTCAGCCACATCAAAATCTGAGGCTGTGGTAGCCAGAAACTCCAGATTTGACGTGGGCAGTTTTGTAGGTGGCATTGTGCTGACACTTGGAGTCCTCGTTATTCTCTACATCGGATGCAAGACCTATCGCTCTAGAAGAGGCATTCAGTACAGGACCATGTAAGTTCCCAAGGGATTGTCCCTTGTCAATTTATTGCTTTCTTGAGGGGAACAAGGACAAGCAAAACAAGGAGAATGAACTCTGATACATACCTTTGTTTAATAGACATTATATTAATATCATTAAGAGATTTAACTCTGATATTTTGTCTTTTACCACTTCAGCTATTCCTCATATTGTAAGCCTCTCTTCTGTGTGGGTTTTTTCTCTGATCTATTATATAAAAACACGTCATTTTTTTTAAAGGCTCTTTGTCCTTTAGCTATTCCATTAATAGCTAACATTTCCTTGAAAACATCTCCTTGACGTGTTTGCTGCAATTTGCAAGACTTCTGGTTCTTCCTGACACTTTCTCTTAGACTCTATTTGTCTGTTTACTCTTTGAAGTTTTCTTCCCCATTGCCATTTTTTTTGTATTAGCTCTACTTTCTGTTATCTGTGTGACACCTTGTTGGAACTCCGTCACCACCTCTCTTCTGTATAACCTTTTATGTACTTTCAAGTCTAGTTTGAGCAATCAGTTTTAAGGCCATCTAATCCCTATTCTGAAGCCACTACTGTTGAATCAATTCAGTTATTTATTACGGAAAACATTCAAAGACGATATGACCATTATTCACATTTTTAATAGCACAGTATTTGACCTCAAACTTTTTCTACACCTTGCAATATAGGCAGGCCAACTGGCTGATTTCTAATACTTAAGTTTTCCGTGTTACGTTGTTCTCAACTCCAGAACCCTGTCCATAACATTGTATGCACTGAAGCTGCTTTAAGTACTTTTCACGAGTCCATGAAATGAGAAGTAGAATTCATTTAACCAAATACATGCATCTGCATCCGAACTAGTCATTTCACATCATTCATATTACACTAAAGTATGTCAGATGAACTAGCCTATCCATGCGTTTTTGCATTCACTTACTGTGAGGGCAGCTAGTCTTAGATAAAGAAGTCTGTGTTGTAGATACTGAAAGGTATAGGCTGGATCCCACCTAAAGTCACTTGTTTACTCTGTGTACACCAGTGACTTTCAACCTTCTTTGAGCTGCAGGCTGCAGATATTTTCCCTGTAGAGTGTAGATGCTGTACAGCAAATACAAACATATTGGAAGTAAGCTTGCTTTTCTTAATTATCTTTCTAAGACCCTTTAGAAGTTGTCTGTGGGCTCCAGAAAGTTGAAAACCACTGATTTAAAGAGATTCTCTGCCACCAACTTCCTCCAGGCAGTTGGTCTCTCTCCTTTATGATACCAGAGTGGGGTAGATCTAGTCTTGTCTTGGGTCTTCTCTGTTGAGGTGCTCTTTTCCTCTCCTTTGCAGCATTTATTTCTTAGAGCACAGAACCAGTCAAACATCTGTGATTTTGACCTATATTTTATCTCTCCCCTATTGTAGTGAGTAGGTCAGTTAAAATTATACCATCTCATTTGCCATTTGTACCCAGCTCTACTCAGTTTTCTTTCTGGCTTTCAGACTTGCTTCCTTGTCCCACGTTTAGCTTAAGAACTGGGGATTCTGAAAACTGGGTTGCTTTTCTTTTTCCTATTCGGTATCATCCATCTCAGTTGAGAAGCTTGTTTTAAGTGAGGTGATGTCATCAGACTTGTTGGGATGCTAGTGCTTAGGCCTTGTGTTTTATCTCTGTCTTGACTCCTGCTTGCTGGTCATAGAATTCAACCAGTTGCTGCTGCACGTATTCACCCACAGTAGTGTTTGAATGGATATTGCAGAATTCAGATCAATAATATCCTAAAAAACAAAGGAAACCTGTTGCTGAGCTTGTAAACTGGCTTTCATTTGCTGTTACTACTGGATATAGGTAAGATAGGTAGGATAAAAATGCATGAGCAACAGCTGATCTGAAAATATGTACCTGAATGGAATGTGAAAGCCAAAATGTTAATAATGCTACTGAAGCTGGAGGAGTGTTGACAAAATGAAATTGTTCTGTTAACTTCAGGCTTGGCTCAGAGAGGACTGTAAGGCCCAGGTCAGTGTGCCCTTAGCCCTTGCCAGCAAGGTGGCCTCTGTTCACTAAATAACCTTCTTAGCAGCTTAGCAGCTGTTTATCGTGTTGGCTGCTGCTTGTACCGCAGAACATTAATTACTGTGTTTCTGTTACAGTGATGAACATGATGCCATCATTTAAAGAGACTTCAGGGAAGACAGTGTTGGAAACCCATCCCATCCCAGCTGTTGTAACTTACTTCTGAAAGAGTTCCTTTCATAAAGATGATCACGGTCTCCAAACCTGCCTTGGGGGTCATCCTGCGAAATGTTGAGAAGCTCTTCAAACATCCTGATTTTTTTTGCATTGGCTTTCGTAAGAAGAAGAGGAACTCAGCACTTTGTAGAGACAGTATTTTCTTTTTTTCCATTATTTGTAAACAAATTTAAAGAAACACACATACTGAGTCATTTTAAGGTACACACACAAGTCTTTGGAATAGCAAATTACTAGCACAGTGGAGCGTATCATTGCAGTTCTAAGCACATTCAATTATTTCTCACACACTGCCTAAATCCAGTGTGTTCCATAATGGATAATAGATTAAATAGGATACCTGTGAGACCAATCATAGGTTTTTGCAAGTAAAATGGGATTTTTTCCTATTATTTTGTATTAAGTTATATTTATTTTGAAGTTAGGTGTGAACTTCAGAAATTTTAGGTTTTGAACAGTTAGTTAATTTTTATTAGGCTATAAAGGGATGTGGTTTGCTAACTGTATAGGAGGCCATAACAAGTACTTTAAATTTCGGTTGTTGGCTGACCAGTGACCTGCAGAGACTTTCCTTAACAGGCTGTACAATGAGACAGGCTGCAGGAAGCCTGGACAAACTGAGCATATCCATCCACAACAATTTTCTCTAAGTGGGTCCTTACAAATAGACTATGTGATCCATAGCTTTTTTCTAGCATGTCCTAATGAAGCATATGCAATTGAAGATAAAAATAAAAATGGAAAAATGTAATTGTGCCATCAGAAATATGATGCAATATTAAACTTGCTTCTAAAAATTGGCTTTTAAGTTGAATGTAGCAGTCACTTCACTCTTGGTTTTTATTATTATGAAGCTGTATGCAGTGTTTTAGAAGCATTTGATAAACATTGAAAGATGCACATAGAAGTGAAAGATCTCTAAGGTAGCACTTTAAAAGAATGTAATCTGCATTTTAACAACTGTTTTCGGAACTTGATACTGCTGTATAGAGGTCTGGTCAAAAGCCTGCTGAAGGCAACAGGGCATCTCAGAAGGCCTGTAGATTAAGGCCTAAATACACAGGGGCCCTGTGCAAGGTGGCTGATGCTGCTTCTGCGTTTACACAGGTTAAACCTGCTGACTGCAGTAGGTGGGCTCCTCATTTATGCTGGTGTAAGGAAAACTAGAGCAAGGATCAAGAAACACAGGCCTGTATCTCCTTATGGCCCTGAACAGTCGTTCTGTCCTGCTCCGACTCTGCTTGTAGACCTCTCTGTGCTGCAGAGGGTTGGGGTGGTGGGACTTGGCCCTCCTGGCTACTGCTGGCTCTAGACCATCACACAGGGCACAGACAGGAGGTGGTGACAGCTGAGGAGGGTCACAAGAGGAGCTGCATGTGGGTCTGTCAGGGGGCTGGGATGCAGCATATGGGGGGAGGTAAGACTGCAGCTCTGACACAGGTTGATTTTCCAACACGCAATATTAAAGCGGCCATATGGATTTTTATTTTTTTTCCTTTTTCACATGGAGTAGTAGAACTGTTGTGTCCAAGGCACAGCTACCTCAAATGGGGGTAGCAGGGCTGTTTTGTTTTTGGTTAGTTGTTTTTTTTTTTACTGAGACTGAGGTACAGGGGAATAGTGATTTGAAGTAACTTACGATTTTTCTTATTGTTTAGTGGAAAACTTCTGGTTTTGGCTTGAAAGAGTTTAGAAACAGTTCTTCCATAGAAATGCAATTCTTTACTTTGTAGAAATTAAGACAATTAAGTGCCACTCAATTACTGGGATTGTCTCACCTCTGTTGTACAGATGAATAAATAAAATAAAATCTTTGGAGTTACTATATCACTTTCAGTTAGATCTTTATTTTCTTAGACAGTTTTACAATTCCCTAAACCACAGGCATAACCATTGAATAAGAAGTGTTAGCTATACATACTTTTTCAATGCTAGAATACCAGACTGAGTGCATTTTTGCCCAGCTCAATAATTTATAATTTATTTTGTCATCTCATTACTACAATAAAGCAAAATTATGGTCCTCATACCACCATTAAGTACATATTTAGGCCTCAGTCCTGGAGGTTGCTCTATGGCATTGGAAGAGACAGTGGATCTGAATTTAAGATATGCTCTACAGCTGTGGAGGGACTGACTGTATTAAATAACTGAAATAGTAATTTAGCATTCAAAAATCCTCATTATGGTAACTGAAGATTGGCACTCAGTTTCTGTAAGGAAACAGTATTTGAATGGGTTTGCCTTGGGAGTCTACCAAGATTTTAGACCAATGTGAGCTATAAAGCTGAAGTAGGAGCAAAGACAGGTCTGCTGTCTCACAGACTGAAGTCTGGCACCATCCCAGGCAGCGGCAGAAGAGAATACAGAGGAGTCAGAAGGGCCCTACAGGGTTAACTGGTCCAGCTGCCTGACCCAAAATGACAGCAAGTAGTTTGTTAAGGGCATGTTGTTGTACTTTCTCTATATTTATGCTACAGTCAGTCTTTTAGCTGACTTAACTGAGTTGATTAATATTGTAAAGATGATTTAACTGTTTATCTTCTCATCAGGACTGCACAACTGTTTTCTTACCCATACTGATGACTGAGCAGTGCAGTTCATAGATCTGTCTTGAGCAGGAACCCCTCATAGCACAGAACCACATTTACAGCACTGTATCATGTTTTAAGCCCATCACCAGCAGTCAATTAACACAGCTCTTCCACACAACCCCTATACTCATTTTTAATCCTTACAATTAATGTTGTTGTACTTTATATTGAAATTTATTTCACTTAATACTACAGGCTTGAGAAGTCACCTGATGGCCACAGACCATGGCCACCTCAGGTCAGATACCATGAATGTTACTTTTGCCCTTCAAACACCTCATGATCAACCATCTGAGATCTCAGCACTGCAGCATTCTGCCTTCCTTCCACAGCTCTTCCCTCTTGACTGCAGCTCTACTTCAGTCTGTATCCTAGTGCCAAATCATAGCCCTTCCAGTTTAATTGTTTTGATGGGGCCCTGCATCAAAGGCTTCAAAGCAGCCCCAAAGTGCTACAATGCTGTATTTGGGGGGGGGCATTGTTACAAAAAAAAAAAACCCAACACTATTGGATCAATGTCAAGGTACTGTGATAATACTCAGTAACTTGAACATTATCCCTTTGTAGAGCTACTGTCATACCTTTCCTTTTTGTTCAGAGACTGTTACAGCTCTTACATACTCATTCACTATTTCTTTGCCCTGAAGACATACATAGCTTTCTCAACATGCTTTACTGAAAAAGGTATAAGCAAAAAATGACAGTATTGCCAAAAGCAAAGGAATGGCATCAGAGACTGAAATTGCCTAGATAACTCAAGAGGTTAAGAATTTAGCTGTGATAGGGAAGGAGACTGAGACTGGACCTGTGCAGAGCATAAGCACTTTAGACACCACTGAAGGAATCCTGACTAGCATATGACTGAGATAGCAATGTTGAAAAACAAAAGTTAAATGAATTTAGCAATCTGCTTTCAATGGTTCTCACAAACAGCACACGCAGGGACTGCCAGGTCCTCATATTGATCCTGCAGTGTCCAAGCTTTAGCTTGTTCTAGAATTTATTGTTTGCTTTGCTATAAAAACACTACTTTGAAGACTGGATCAGTGATTAATTTCATTTTAAGTGTCATGTCATCCATGTACTTCAAAACATCCAATTCAGGAGCTCTGAAAACTGAAAGAATGAAAGGGACTTCAAGATCCGGAGGCTGCTAAGTGTCCTTTTAGAATATCAAGAGGAATTCTAGTACTCAAAATGTTGAGTTTGTCTAGTGTTGTTCTGACCTTACCTACATCCCTTTTAAAGCAGTCTGGACAGGTGGTGTAGCTGGCCAGCACTGAGGTCATGGGTGCTTCTGAAGTGTTAGAAGAAAAACTATGATGCAACTTGTTTTCCTTGACAGGGTTCATAAAGAAAAGCAATAAATGCCTGTATGAATGGGGTGCTTTCTTCTTTTGATTGTTGCATATATGACTTTATATCTTCTAAAGACTTTTTTTATTCCTTTAGAATAATAATTCCTAACTAATAGGCTGTACGTCATAACTACTGACTACTTTCACTTCTCTATCTGCCAACATAATACAGCATCAAGCTATACAGATCTAAAAGGAAGAGATCTTTGTTTTGGCCAAGGCTACACCCTCCAACACATGAGCTTAGAAACCTTTGGCACGTTCTCTGAAAAAATTTCACTAGGCCAAAACTAAATGTGAAGGCCACTGCTAGGACATTCCTTACTGTGCAAACCATTTCCTGCTCTGTTCCAGCATATTTTGATCTCTTTAAAGAGGGAAAAAAATAAGTAACTCACCTATTTATTTTTTTGAAAATAGCACTGCAAGATCTGCTGTTTGGAGCTCTGCTCCTCCTTGCACAGGACACATGCAATACCCCAGACTCTTGGGTTTGGGTTCCCGTGGCAGCAGCCATCAGTGAGGGAGCTGGGCTGGAGCAGCAGTAGCTGTGGTGATCAGGTGCTCAGTTAAAAACAGAAACAAAGCAGTGGCGATTTAGTGTTGTCTCAGGAAGTTTACTCCCTGTACTGGAAACCTCTACAGCAAGAGTGACAACAACTGCATGTTCAGTAGTTCAACAGAACAGAAAATACCTTTTTGTGTCCAGAATACATCTGCTTTGATTCACGTACCCGAGGTGGGTCACTTCAGGAATAACTAGCAGCAAGAAAACTAAATTTGCAAGTTCAGTCCATCTGCAACATTAGACATGATACTGCGTTACCCAGCCTCACTACACAACACTTACTACGACACAGAATTAAAGGTAGATGAATACACTGCTTACAATTTCATGTGCTTCTCGTCTTGGGAGGAACATAGCTCATAGTTCTGAAAGCGTGGCACTGTGGAGTTACAAAAGCACCACCAACTCTCTCAGACACAAAAAGCAGTAATAACTTTTTCTTTTGTATCATGCTAATGGAGTCCTTAGATATTTCATATATGGCCATTCATTTCAGCATATAAGAGCAGTGCTGTTATAATGACTGGTGGCACCCTGATTGCTTCTGAATACTAGAAGTGCATGCTGTCTTCAGTTTGAAAGGTGCTGGGCTTCCTGGTCAATGCTCAACAGCACACAGAAGTGAAATATATGCATTGTTAAAAACAAAAACAACAAAAAAAAACAACAAAAAAACCCAGACCACCACAAGAAAAATAACATGCAGAAAACTACTCAACAGAGCTTTGTGCCACTTGCTTCACAAACACATACAGTTGCTACATGGGAAGCCACTATCTTGCAGTATCTCAAATGAATATCAGAAACTGCAGCTGCTCGAGGCTACCCTTTCCAGATATGATAAGCTTCATTAAGAAACAAAATTGCTTATTTATAGAAGCTGGGAATATTGCCTGCTATCTTCATCTTATAGCAAGTCTGGCCACTGAACTCCAATGATAACAAAGTTCCCACCCTCTACACACCCTCAGCCATGCAAGCCCCCTCTGCCAGCTCCAGACGACCCATGGACCTGGGACACCAGCGGCTGAGGACTTGAGCTGCTTCATCAGCAGAACTGCACAGGGAGCTGGGGGCAGAGGGGCTGTTTATTGCCATTTAACCCAGTCAAAGCTCTGGAAAATGCTTTCAAAGAAGGAAGTGGACACAGAACAAGGTGTGCACATGGTCAGCTGGGTCACAAGTAACAGAAGTCACTTGACCCTCTCCAGGCATAACACTATGCAGGCAGTCTTCTCCATGGTTTAACTCTGCTAGGGTTTTGTTTGCCATGTGCTACAGACGAGTTTTATTAAGGCTTTCTTGGAATAGTGGAGGAGAGCGTAACTGCTCACATGTACAGCATTACAGATCAGGGCAACCACACACACTACAGTGGGGAGCAGCAGAAAGCTATAGCCTAGAGATTAGCCTTTTGGGCAAAACTAGGTCAAATAATTTTACCTGGCCCTTTCTAGATCAAGTTCTTCCACCTCTCAGGTTCAGATGCCTCGATGCAGGCAGCCAGTGCTGTTTGAAGCTGACCAGGACATTCAGGAGACTCGGCAGCCAGGGCTGGCAGGTTACATTGCAGGTCCTGAGATACGCTCAGGCATCACACACAACAAGGAACACCTGAATCATTCAGCTTTTAAAGCCCTGTACATCCTGTCATCTGATCTGTAGGTATTAACTGTAATGTCTGAAAAACTCTAACCTCTATGGTTCTAAAGTAAAATGCACTGCTTAAAAACATCTGCCTGCTACTCTGCATTTCCCTGTCCTCTTCCCCAGCTCCCTGTTCAGAAATAGGGCTTGCATAGTACAAATTCCATGCTCTTCAGGTAAAAGCCTGACCTCTTCAGCTCCCCTTGCAGTCTCATCTTAATCTGTACAAAGTATACTTCATTCTAATATTACTAATTTATGGGTCTGAACATCAAATTTCAAGTCATGTGCTTTATTCCTGAGCAAGCTTATTCTTGAAGAACTTACAAAAGACCCAAGACTTCAGAAGGGGCTGGAAGATCCTGCTATTTGATTGCACACTGAAATTCCAAACACAGAAAAGTAGCTTTTACATTTTAATCCCTTGCATAAAGGCTATACTGCTGCATAGCTGCCCTCTGCCTCTTCTCTAAGGTCACAAGGACCATTCCTGGTCAGAATTTGTATCCTGTGAAAAATATAAAGACAAAAGGAAGTACCAGATACTGTTGGGTTTTTTGAGCGGGCTGTTTGTTTTTAAATAAGGACAGAAAACTGAACCCCCTGCTTTACCAGAGGGAATCACCAAGCAGCATAGAAGCTCACTTACCTGTTAAAAATAAATGAAAGACTCACAGAATTCAGTTATATTGTACTTTCACAGGTGAATAACCACCCCCAAAATTTTGTCAGGAAAAGACAGCATTCTAGTCCTCAGAGAAAAGCCAACAATGGGAACAGCATAAACAAGCACTCATTTGAGAAGTAGAAATATTTTAATTCAGTCTTCATATAAACTATTATTAATACATATCACACAAGTATCTAGATGTACAAAACTTAAAAATAAGTTCTGCAACAGTTAGCTTCTTTTCTCCTCAAGTCCACAAGAAAGCCAAAAGCAAACCAAAACAGTAGCTGAAGTTAATCACTATTAATTATTAATAAACAGCAATCTTAATGTATCTGCTCACATCCACACAGAGGAAACTCATGAGAAGAGTTATGCCAAGCTCCATGTTAGGAACTCAACCAGGAAGTTTATTATTCAAAGTGACACAAGGGCACACTAGTGAAACTCCTATCCCTACTCAGAAAGGAAAGCTCCAAAAGCCTCACCTTAGTATGGCATTAGCTGTATGAACAGAAATAGTCTTTGGTAAGGAAGATCTAGTACACTCATAATGACAACAGGGTTTACTGTTACGTAAGGGTGATAGGAAGTTGATTAATCACCTCCTGTTCCACAGTTTTCCACTCTTAAGACACTGCTGGCTTAAGCTTGGGCAGTTGGAGGATGGCAGGAACAGGCGTTTTGCAAGTTTCCCTCTTTATGAAAGAAATGTGCGAACTGTACCCTTGATTGTCCCCCTGCAAATAGGGCATTTTCTAAGGGACGGTGCACATTCTTTGCATACCACTAAGTGACCACATGGAATAAAAACAATACAAACTTCTTTGTCCATGCAAACTTTACATGTTCTTTCTTCTTGCAATCTTCTTAATTGTTCTTCCATAGGTAAACCTGGAAAAAGTATTTAAGAAGCCTGAATATATATGCATTCTAATTATATATGCATTCTAACAGCCATGTTCCCTTTCACCCTTTATCTCCCTATCTGTGTTCACTAAACATAGATGGCAGTGAGAAAATAAGTACATTTTCCAGAGCTCAGAAAGTGGCACACAAGGAACCAGTCTGTACTCTCCACTTCTGTGAGACAACAAACGGGGATTGGAGGTCAACTCTAGTTCGTGAGACCAAGCCATGTTTACATTTTAGCAAATGCTGTACTTTTCTTGCTTGGATATTAGAAGCACAGAGCACAGCCTGCCTAGTGGAGGTGAGCTATATTCAGGCTTGTATACTTTTCTGCAGTCCATTAACACATTAAACCACAGGGCTAAGAACTAGAGCAAATTCAATCCCACGTCTGACAAGCTTTATCTACCCAGCTGTTGGTCAAGCAAGATCTTAAGACACCTATAACCCACTCTGGAAAAGCAGAGATGGTGACACCTGCCATGAAATGCTAACCTACTATTTACTGTCCAGTCTTTTCCAAAGGCCTGAATTAGAGCTTGTACCAGGATCAAGTGCAGCATGTGCTTGCACTGCTGAGCTCCAGAAAGCTCTACCTCCTATAGTGTAAAAGCCTGTGTAAGGCACAGGATAGAGATTGCAGATTGCAGCAGACAGACTTGCAAGTCCATGCATGCACTTAATTTTTTCAGGTAAGTCCATCTTACTAAAGCAGAATGAGGGACAAGGTAAAGCATAAAACCTAATTCTTAACAAAAGTAATTTTCTTTCTTATCATGTTAATTATTCGTCCCACAAAACCCTTTGAAGTAAGAAGGCAGAGTTTAAGGTACCTGAAACGTCTTCTGTGGGAACATACTTCATGTTCTGCTCCACTAAAACAAAAGAAAAAAAATCCTCATGATTTGACTAATCTATATTCAAACAGCATCTGATTTTTTACTTCTATAAACTTATATCCTTTAAAAAACCATACATACCAAATAAGTCTTTGTACAGTACAGGGTCACAATCTCGTAGACAGTTTCTGAATATGCTGGCTGCTTCATTTCCTTTCACTAAAACTGTATCTATCAGTTCCCTTGCTTGCAATGCTGTCTGAGTCTTTTGCTTAATAACATCATGCTCAAGTTCTGTTATCACTTCAGCTGACAGTAAACTCCCAAGGATTGGAAGGACACACGTTAAACGTTGGAATAAAGCCATTCGATTCTTCCGGATTAAGGACAAATCATCTGGAATGCAAAGAGGATTAGATGTTCGTTAGGAAAACACTCCTCCAAGTTGCATTTCTTCTTATTAACTGATACATTGTTTAAATCCTACTTGAAATATTTGCTTACTACATACCATTAATAAGGACCTCACTAAGTTTTAGTGGTATTCACATAAAGAACACACTTCAGGAAACCACATAGAAGCAGCTTCTGAGCTGAAGCCTTTTCACCACTGAAACCTCTTCCTCCCATCTCTAGGTAAAATTAGGGGATCCTGTCTAACTCCACTCTAGCCAGACTTCAGTTCTCTGCAGAGCTGCAAAGCAAAAACAATGCCTCTACATAACACCAACACTAACTTACTGACAGCCAACAGGTTAGCTTTAGTCAGTGGCACTCAAAGTCATGTGCAAGATGCAGACAGAATCACACTTTTCTAAGAGGTGTCCAACAGAATCATGTGCAAGAAAACCAGGAGTACAGCACAACCAGACTCAGGAGATATTTTTTTAAATGGTCTAATCACAAACAAAATAATTTCTATTAAGATTTAATGGCTGGATCCATCCGTGTTTTTTGATGCAAGTAGGAAAGAAGCAGTATTAATTCAATTTATAATTTAGAAGTTTAATTACTGCTTCGCAGACTTAAAAAATAGTAGGATTTTTTTTAGGCTTCAAAACTTACACAGTATTAAAACAGTAAGAAATATTAAAACCACATCAGATAAACACTGTTAAATAGCTGACCTACATGGTTGAGTCAGACACAAAACCAGACCTTTGACCAACCTGCAGAATCTAAATTCATAGAAGTTTATGGTCTATTGTAGGAAGTAGATCTGGTGGCTTATTTTGGTTCCATTTCTTTCATTAACCAATATAAAGGCACACAAATAAAAAAAAAAATTACAGCTCTTTTCCTGTGCAGAGAGTCAGGTGATTCTGAATGCTTGGCACCTGTATGACCCATCCTCCTAAAAGGGAACGAAACAATTCCCAGACTGCTAGTTCCATACAGACACCCTGACAATGCTTTTCCAGAAGCTGATCCTAAAAGCAATTAAACTAAATCACTTAGTGAATAAAAATTCTAAAAACTATACAAAGGACAAACCACTTCTGCTGTCACTTTTATTCATGCCTTATGCATACCTGATGCCAGTTCTTCAAACTGTCTCTCCCTCTCTTCTTCCCTCTTCTCATCTTCAGCAGTGAGCAGATCAGACACAAGATCGTTCACAGTCTTGTAGTTTTCTCCAGTGGCCAAGATTTTACTCTGCACCGTTTGCTTTACAAGCCTTCTACTGAATCCCATCTCCAAGGCAGCTTTAACCACAGGTGTGTTCATCATGATTGCATCTTCTGAATGACTCTCCCCAGGTTCAAAATGAATAACTAATCAAAGAAGAAAACCAACCATGTATAATATAGAGAATATAATACCTATGCAACCCGGAAGTCAGATATATCAACATTACAGAATCACAGAATATTAGGAGTTGGAAGGGACCTCGAAAGATCATCCAGTCCAACCCCCTGCCAGAGCAGGATCACCCAGACTAGGTCACACAGGAGCATTACATACACGCGTGCATATATCAAAGAATACCCAGTATTAAAAAGTTTCAGTGGCCAAGTAGACTTGGTTTTTTTAGCTAGTTTTAAAAATGGAAGCCAGTTACTTAGATTCAACTGAATTGAATCCATAATAAACTTCAGTCCATGTCAAGCCTTCACTAAAATCTAGGCTAATCCAGATAAACCACAGAATTCCACTGTGTCTTAGCAGCTTTTTTTGTAGTTAGTCATTTCTAACTTCAGCCTTGAAAAATGTCTTGGGGTGGGCAGCGAGGGGGATGCCTGATCAAAACTGAGTTTACAGTACAAACAATTGCTCTATTCTAGCTCTTGATCAGTATTTTCCATTCTACTTACTAAGCACCAGACACATGAGATTCTCACAACTCACTGTCCTCAACCAGCAGGAACTACGACAACACAACCACTCACCCTCTGGTGTTATTTCCACCTAACTAGAGTCCAGCTCAGGAAGACTTCACTTTATCAGCTTGTCCTACACACTCTTCTTGACTGCTGCTGCTCAACTCATTTACCTAGCTCTGTGCCTAAAACTGAAGTTGCACAACTGCGTAGTCATGACACCCTCTAGCAACTGTTCCACCAAGTTTAACAGCATAGGTCAATTTAACAAATGTTAAATGGTTATGGTAATGTTAAGTGGTAATGTTGATGGTTCAACTCAACCATGAAACTAGAAACCACAAACACAGCAGATGCCAAGCAATCAAAACCAAAAACATCTTAATATGAGGTGCTAGAGTATGAAGAGAAGAAAAATGAAAGACTATGTCTCTTAAAGGTGCTTCCTTGAAGTTTGTCCATATAACATCAAAGCTACTTAACTTTTATAATTAGTTAGAAAATCCTTATAATATTGTTGTTTCCAAGAAAATCTAAGAATTGGCTATCCAATGGTAACTTGCTTAACAATCATTAAGTCTACGAAATGCTGAAAGAAATTAAAACCACGCTTCAGTATACATACTTGGGGGATCAATGTTTTCGTCCACAGGTGTATCAGAGGTTGACAAGAGCTGTGGAACACAACAGAACTACATTAGTATTAAAGTACTGCTTTTCCCCGCTACATGCCTTTCTAACACATTCATCCCTCATCAACCATGCTTAGTTTTTTATCTGAATGGAACCCATTAAGTATTTTACATGCAGTTACACAAGCCTGCAAATCTGTGCAACTACATAATCAATATAGTGCTGACCAGTTCCATAAAGATAAGTTTGCCTTACTCTTGCTAGAAGAGCTATGGACAGAATTAATTCAGGCTGTCCGTGAAATAACAATTAGTGATCTGCATTATTCACTGAAACTCGCATAACCAGAATTTCCCTCTCCTGACATGAAGGAGCTCAGAACCTCAAAACACTTTTTGTAAGTAACCTGTACAGGTTCAACTCCACTAGTCCATTAGTCACGGGTCAGCACTGGTTTCATTTCTACACTCATGAAGAGCATTTATTGTGTTAGAAACCTAGTAGAAATTTATGCAAAAATTAGGCAGAAGGACAGACCACACTCCCAAAAAGAACATACCACATTTCAACAAGGGAAAAACAAAGTTACAGAACAGTAAAGTTTACCTGCTCAAGAAGATGGGGGAACCTGGCCTGAATCTGACTTACAAACTCTCCTCCTTTTACACGAAGCAGATACTCACACCTGAAACATTAACAAAAATATACTAAATTATACTTTCTACTTGCCAAAGGAAAGAAAATACTTAAGAATGAAACTTAAGCATAACTTAAATACATGTTTCTCTTTCTTCAAAAGGGAAACAGTTCTCTTAATTGGAAGCTTAATGTAGCCTAGCATCTGGTGAGGCTGATAAAGCTTTTCCGTGATGTTCTGCAGTCAGTAGGCTTATGTATATAAATGCACCAGTTTCTCTGCTACCACTTCTAATCAAAATGGTACAATACCACGACAGCATCACACAAACTGCAGTGATAAACTGTTTCTATCTCGCATCTCACCATTCTTATCTCCTACTCAAATCATTAAAAAGAAGTTAACAAAATTTAATATCACTATCAAAGCCAGGGCTGCTTCACTAAGGCAGAGTTACATCTCTTAAGTACATCTACTGACAGGCACAACAAAAGGAAACAAAGGTCTCATTTAACTCTTATGTGCATCTCGCAGTGCAACAGTAGCTGGTGAATGGCCTGTGAAAGACTAGCTGGAGACTAAGATGTGAAGAATTATTATCAGCTTTCCTAAAATTAGGTGCAGCTACTTATGTCACTAAGGTAGGTGAAGATTTCCACAGGCACAGATGGCAATCAGGTACACAACTGCCATTTAATTATGGGGGACATTAAAAAGTTATTTGTTATTTTTCCAATGGAGACATACTAAACAGCCACTGAAATGTTCTTCACAAGCCTTTCCACACCTAAGAAACTAAACCACATGAGCCAAAAAACTGGTTCAAGAGCATTCAGCATGGGCACAGCACTAGATCAAAGGAGCTACATGTTCCTTCTACTTCATTTCTCAGCAGCTTTTGCTCTCCTCAGTTTGCTTTCCAACTGCTTCTCTTAGCTAAGTATGCTCACTGACAACATAGCCTCACTTGCTAATAGTGATCTGGGGATGCACACAGCTTTAAATTACAAAGCTGAAAACATTAAATATCATGCTCAATGAAGAAATGTTTCAATCCAGGCCACCTTAGCACTTCTGAAATTTTAAATGGATATACATGAAATACATTCCAATGAAAGAGTGAATTTGTACATTGTATGGTGAAGTTTAAACTATTGCATGCAGAACACATCTGCCAAAATTAGAAATATTTAACAAGGTGAACAAATTATGATAAATATTTTGCAAATTACCTTGGAAACCACTTTGCATGCTCAATCCATGGATCATCTCCAGATTCCCAACACCTCAACCCACCATCACAGCAAAAACACTTGACATCATCATTGCGGCCTTTAAAAAAAAAACAGCAAGGCAAAATATCTAGCAAACATTCACACAATTTACTTCAAAGTAAATGCTGACATAGCAATATGAATAAAACCAGAGATGTCAGTTTTCCTTACCTACATAGTAAAAGCCAGCATGCGCAAGCTGTTCAGGCTGAACTGGAATTCTGGTTGGCCAATTTATGAATGTTTTAACACGTGCTTCATGGGTCTGCATGCTCACATTCGAAACATTGAAACTCGGCTGGTCTCGGGTAAGGCTTTCCACAAAGGGGCAGGTAGGGAAGTGTCTCCGATGCTCTGACATAGCGTTATCTTTTGGTTCCCAGTTACTCAGCTGGCCTCCACAGGTGAAACAAGCAACTTTGTCTGCTGTCCCCAAGTAATAAAGTCCAGCCTTTGCCAGATCAGTGGGCGAGAGAAATGTCAGTGGCCACGAGTGAAAAGTGCGCAGCCTAGCATCTTCTGTACTCATAGAAGGATTGTGAAGCTTAGGTCTCAAGAATGAAAGGTCTTCAACGGCCCGAGTAGTGACTGGGTCTTGAGGAAAACTAGAAAAAGAGCCACTGAAATATCCAACCTGATCAAAACTTGGAGAAAGTGTCATGGAATGTAGAGATGGTGAGAGACAGTTTGTGACCCGAGGCGAAAAGGCAGAACGAGAGGACAGTCCAAGGTTGTTAACTGAAAGCATGTTCCGAACAAAACCGCAGCTAGGATACAGCTGTTTGTGTTTCTCCAGAGCATTATCTCCTGGTTGCCAGCTGTCCAATGTTAATCCACAACTGAAGCACTTAACTTTATCTTGCACACCAGTGTAATAAAACCCAGCCCGGGCAAGACTCCGCTCTGACACTGGCACGTTAATGGGGAAAGTAGAAAAGGTTGACATTCTGTAGAGTTCGCAGGATAAATCATACTTCAGTTCACCACACAAAGCACTTTGCTTCATGATGTTAGCCAAGAAAGGGCTATTTTCCATTATGTTCATAATGGACTATTTTTGGAAGAATGGGACAAGTCTTCCTCTGGGAGGTCGTTGTGTGCATTAAAGGCAATTCGGAATAACCCCTGCCTGTACAAGAGTAATAACCAGAATATTAAATACAATGTGCAACTTTGAATACAAATGTGAGTAGAATTAGCTTCACGATTAAGAGCCTTTAAACATCTGGGAAGTTCTTGTACTTTAGCTTACACAGCTGCTTTCAGCGCAAAAGCTGCCCATCCCATTTTGACTAGTGAAGAAAGCACATCAAAAAGGACTTTTCCCTCGAACCATACAGGCATCACATGCTTTCCTTGTACTGTGTTATGTGGGAGGGCAGTATCGCTTTGTCAGGCTAGCAGAGGTGGGATCCAGGGGGGAAAAACCTCAAATTGGTTTATCAAATCCTTTGTCAATAAAGAAACTAAAACGGGGACAACTAAAACAACATTGTTTTCAACCAGAATGTATGTTAAGTGATTTAAGAACTACTTCACCCTAGACAGCTGATAAATATGCAGCTTATAGATTTTTAGTTTGTAAACCTCATTAGGATGCTGAAAATAATGGTTTATCAAGCTCAAAAGGCATATGAAAAATGAGGCCCTGAACTGACATTATTGAACTAATCTGTTCTATTTGCTACGACTAGACTTCCAAAAAAACCCGTCAACTTCTGCATATTGTTGTAATGCTCATTAAGACTAAAGAGCTTAGATTATACTCAACTTCACATATATCGAATATTCAGCTACGAGATAAATAAATTCTACGTACTGTCTGTGACAAGGATGAAATATCTTAATTAACAAGCCTGGAATAGCCCCAAGCTTTACCGTCTATAACACTGTCAGCACAGACTGAACAGAACATTGCAGTCTTAACCTGGTGCCTTAGTTACAAGTATAAAGTTATCGAATTTAACATAAATGAATTGCCTTGTGTCAGGACATTCTAATACTTTATATTGTAGAAATAAGTTTCTTCTGTATGCCATGTTTATGGCATACAGCAGCAAACAGAATCCTCAAATTAAAAAAAAAAAGTGAAGCCTTAGTTTCTTTATTTATGCACAGAACTACCTCCCAGAGTTCAGACTGAAGTCCCTTCTAAGGTGCTTACGCCTCCATATTGACACGGACTGTTTGCAAGAAGAAACGGTAAGTATCTATAGTTTCAATCATTTAACTCTTTGGGGTAGAACAAAACCTGTAAAGGAAAAAAAGAGAGAAGCGTTTCAAAATATACAAAATGAGGTGCATGTAATGTCTATACAAACAGAAACTACACACACTGAAAGACCAAAATGTCAATGTAAGCTTTTCTGCAATGTTAACTAGAAAGTTTCAGGGAGTCAACTTTACATGCAGTCATACGAAGGATTTTACACGCTTAATCTCTCTGTTATTGGCACATACGCAAAACTGTTTAATCCACAAGCGGAACTTTTTTTGGCAGATGGATCAATCAGGCTGCTTGATCACAAGCTGTATAATTAAAGGTAAGATCTTGTACTAAAGGAGTTGCATCCATTTGAACTGGTTTAAGCCTGAAGATTCTCAAACAATAAAGATCCTGTTCTATTACACTGACTTAAGAGTACTGTAACTTATTTAGTTAAATGCAATGATACTTGAAGCAAGACATCAGCAAAACTGAACTTCACCAAAAATTCCAGGTAAGAGTAAAGATAAAGTTCAAAAGTTTTAAAAGACGTGATTTCATATTTATCTATTTATATTTTTCTATTTCATCATATCTAGCAGTCTGGTTTAGCGTATCAGTTCCTAAACAGTTCTTTCAGGGAACAGATACACTTGTCATGATGACACAGCCCTAGAAAACTCACCTACTGAAAAACAGCAGAGCATTTCCTACTCATCTCAATAGCTTTTAGATTTGTTCTTAGCATGGTCACACGATTACTACTACTAGCTTCTTAATCTCTGAGGACATGAGTTACAAATGCCTTACACCAATCAGTTCCTTTAACACAGACGATGGGACTAAAGCTGTCAACATATATGATGTTAGTCCAAGAAGTTGACCCAGTTTCCGTAATGGAGAAAGTCAGATACCTCAGAGTAAATGTCAGAAATATCAGAGCAAACTCAGGCCCTGATAATCCTAAAACATTTAGGATCACTTAAAACCTGAGATCCTGTGGCCATTTTCTGCCGACCACTCTTCTAATATTATCCTCCACTACAGCCCTAAGCATCCCCAGAGTCACCCAACTGCTCTCAATCTCATGTGTTTGGTTTTTTTTACTCCATTATCCTGCAGCGACACTAAGAAGTTATTTAAGTCCAGAGCAGCGATATTTAAAGTATGGCAAACTCAAAACTCAATTTAATACTCTTCTGCTCTTGTGTTACAAGCCAGGCAAAACAAGCTTACCTTATAAGCATTCTTCACTAAGCTTACAGATCTTGAGCACCGAAACCCACCCGGCGGTGTTTGTGCGCGGCCGCACACCCTCAGCCACAAGCCCTTTGTTCACCC